CTTCTTGGTGCTGGGGGGGGGGGCAACAGTGGGAGGGGCTTCTAGTGTCCTGGCCCCACTGCTGGACCTCCTGATGGCACCTGGTATTTTTTAAAAAAAATCCTTGGATTTATATCCCGCCCTACCCCGAAGGCTCAGGGCAGCTGACAAGGGCACAATGTGGCAAAAAAAAAATTGGCCACTGTGTGACAGAGTGTTGGACTGGAGGGGCCATTGGCCTGATCCAACATTGGCTTCTCTCATGTTCTTATCCTGTTAAGCCAAATTTCTGCCTGAAACGTTGAAAAGTTACTATTAAGAATGATGCATGACCTCGCTCCCTGACTCCGCCCCTTGGCTCAGCCATCTTGCGGTTGCACCCGCCGCCCTATGCCAGATTTCCAAAGGTGCCCACACGCTCAAAAAGGTTGCAGACCCTGCCCTAAACCCTCTGGTCCGCTTCTGAGGCAAGGCACTGGATATCTAGCTCACGGCGAAGCAGCGTTGCCTTGGACACCTCCACCAATGATGACCCAGGAGGGATGTTCATAAACGGTTGTTCAAGTGACAAGACGGCTCCAGCAGACCACGGACGCTCATCCACAAAAAAAAAAGGAGAAAGGGAGTGGGGGAATCAAAACAGATCAGCCAATATCATAATGCCCCTATATAAATCAATGGTGCGACCTCATTTGGAATACTGTGTGCAGTTCTGGTCACCACACCTTAAAAAGGATATTATAGCTTTGGAAAAAGTGCAGAAAAGAGCAACTCGAATGATAAAAGGGTTGGAACACTTTCCCTATGAGGAACGGTTAAGGCGCTTAGGGCTCTTTAGCTTGGAGAAACGACGACTGAGGGGTGACATGATTGAGGTTTATAAGATTATGCATGGGAAAGAGCAGGTAGAGAAAGAGGTACTTTTCTCCCTTTCTCACAATACAAGAACTCGTGGGCACTCCATGAAATTGCTGAGCGGTCGGGTTAGAACGGATAAGAGGAAGTACTTCTTCACCCAAAGAGTGATTAACACTTGGAATTCACTGCCACAGGAAGTGGTGGGTGCTACAAGCATGGACGGCTTCAAAAGGGAATTAGATAAGCATATGGAGCAGAGGTCCATCAGTGGCTATTAGCCACAAGGTATAGATAGGGGCTCTGGGGCAAGTGATGCTCTGTCATCTTGGTGCTTGGGGGGGTCAACAGTGGGAGGGCTTCTAATGTCCTGGCCCCACTGGTGGACCTCCTGATGCCACTGGTATTTCTGGCCACTGTGTGATACAGAGTGTTGGACTGGATGGGCCTTTGGCCTGATCCGACATTGGCATCTCTTATGTTCTTATGTTCTTACCCGGTGCTCCCAGATTAGAGTCCGCGCACTTAACCACGACACCAAACTGGCTCTCTGTGTGTCAAGAAACTGCTCTCCTTTCAGAGAGCTCTTCTGCCTATGCATTAGCTTTCTTGACTAGAGGTCCTCACCAATGTCCCCTCTAAGCTGAGTGAGTGTGAGCTAGCTCACCGTTTTTTAGCCTCCGGCTCACCCATTTTCGTCTCAGCTCAGGAAGGGAGGGCTCCAGAGCAAACTGACTGCTGCAGCAACCGAATCGCTCGCTCACCACTTGAATGCCAGCAGCTCACAAAGTAGAATTTTTGCTCACAAGACTCCACAGCTTAGAGGGAGTCTTGGTCCTTACCAATGTTCCCTCTAAGCTGTGGAAACCTGTGAGCACAAATTCTCCTTTGTGAACTGCTGGCATTAGAGTTATGAGTGGGCGATTTGGCTACTGCATAAATTAGTTTGCTCTGGAGCCCTCCTTCCTGAGCTAAGGCAAAAAACTGTGAGCTGGAGGCTAAGAAACTGTGAGCTAGCTCACACTAACTCAGCTTAGAGGGAACACCAGTCCTCACCCCCACCTGCCGGCTTGTTATCAGAATGGTTGCTTGAACTGGCAGATGTGATTAACTTGCAGCAGCTGAGAACTGTCGTCTAGAGCTTTCTATTGGCTAAGTGGCTTTCTATTGGCTAAATGGCTTTTCTTTCCGTACTGAGAACTTCAGCCCCACAATCCAGGAACCGTGTTCCACCACGCGGCCTCTCAGCCCCCGGCCCAAAAGAAAACAACCAGGAAATCGCCACAGAGTCGGCTCTTACTGTATTGCTTCCGCCTCTTCTACCTTCTCTGGTTTTCTTTTAGCAGCAGAAACCTCCGGACTGCTTGCCACTCGCTGATGCTGGCATTTCAGAGACAGAGGGGGGGGGGGGAAATGTACATACAAATGAAGAAATCCTGCCAGACCCAATCAGATGGGAGACACGTATTCAGAAGCAGATTCCCAGTCTGCGGATTTCTCTCTCCGCTGGGGGCTGCGGCAAACAAGCAAGTGGAAGAGGAGGAGGAGGAAAAGAAGAGATTGCATTTATACCCTGCTTTTCACTACCGGAAGGAGTCTCAGAGCGGCTTACAAACTCCTTGCCCTTCCCCTCCCCACAACAGACACCCTGTGAGGGAAAAGAAGAAGAAGAGATTGGATTTATACCCCGCCCTTCACTACCCGAAGGAGTCTCAGAGCGGCTTACAAACTCCTTGCCCTTCCCCTCCCCACAACAGACACCCTGTGAGGGAAAAGAAGAAGAAGAGATTGGATTTATACCCCGCCCTTCACTACCCGAAGGAGTCTCAGAGCGGCTTACAAACTCCTTGCCCTTCCCCTCCCCACAACAGACACCCTGTGAGGGAGGTGGGGCTGAGAGAGCTCTGACAGAAACCACTCTTTTCTCCAAGAACAGCTCTGACAGAACTACGGCTTGCCCAAGGTCATCCAGCAGGTGCAAGGGGAGGAGTGGGGAATCAAAGCCGGTTCTCCCAGATTAGAGTCCCCGCACTTAACTACTACACCAAAGAGCTTTTCCTAGACTTCCCAGTTTTGTGCTGTCGGGGGGCGGGGTGGTGGTGTTTCCATTTCTACGGGTTAATCGCCCCGCAGACCAGGAAACCAGGGGTTAACCAGCATTTCTCCCTGACATGCTGGTTTTCTACAAGCAGGGAAGGCGTTACTCTCCCCTCCACACACACAAGGCAGGATTGAAACCTGCCACTCGGAAAAGGCGCCCCCACTTGACTGTGATTGCGGGCCAGTGTGAGGCAGTGTCAGACTAGGAACTAAGATAATCCCCACTCTCCCATGGAAGCTCGCTTGGGGCCGGTCAAACACTCTCAGCCTTACCTACCTCACAGGGTTGTTGTGGCGGGAGCGGTGGCACAGTGGGTATATCCCACGGTCTTAACATCCGAACTGTGTCAGTTCGAGCCCCGCGCTGGTGTGAGCAGCCAGCCTGTCGTCCCCAGCTCATCGTCCACCCAGCAATTCGAAAGCCTCGGCGAGTAGATAAAATGGGAACCACTCCTTAGAGAGGGTGGGCACGCCAATCTCCCCTGTGGGAAGGTGTTAGCTCTCGGTTGGAGACGTCCTAGTCTGGACCCGGAAGGCGGAAGAATCTACTCAGCTAAGAAAAATCCCTGCAGTGGGATGCTCTGGCCAGGTGGTGGCAGTGTGGCGATGCAGCGGGTTGGAACATGACCGAGTCAAGCCAGAATCGTTTCCACCGGGGAGTACGGCGTGTGCAACTTAAATGAATTATATGTTGTCTTCCCTATCCCCTATGAAAAACATTGTTCGCCCCCAGTCTAAAGAGTAACTGTAAATCACTTTGAGCCCACTCATGGGGAAGGCGATTAATGAATCGAAAGCATTATTGTGCGAATAAAACGGAGGAGAGGAGGCGGGAGAAGAATAGGAGGAAGGAGAGGGAGGATGAGGAGGAGAAGCTGAGTTCCTGTGAGGTAGAAATGTGGCTAATAAACGTCTTAAATAATTTTTAATAAACGTTTTAAAACCTTTTCTGGAGGTTTTCAAGCAGAGGCTCGATGGCCATCTGACAGCATTGCGGATTCTGTGAACTTAGGAAGATCATGAGAGGGAGGGCAGGAAGGGTTGCCTCAGGGCTTAGTTCTCAGGGCCCTTCCTTCCACGCCCAGGGAAATAATGATCGCCACTTTGGGGTCAGGAAGGAATTTTTCTCCAGGCCAGTTTGGCCGGGGATCCTGGAGGCTTTTTGCCATCTTCTGGGCATGGAACGGGGGTCACTGGGTGTGTGTGTGGAGGGGAGTTTTTTGTGAATTTCCTGCCTTGTGCAGGGGGTTGGACTAGATGACCCTGGAGGTCCCTTCCAACTCTGATTCTATAAGGAGGATGAGGAGGAAGAAGAGAAGAGACTGGATTTCTACCCCGGCCCTTCACTACCCAAAGGAGTCTTAGAGCGGCTTACAATCATCTTCCCATCCTCTCCCCACAACAGAAACTCTGGGGCTGAGAGAGCGCTGAAAGAACCGTGATTGGCCCAAGGTCACCCAGCTGGCTGCATGTGGATTAGTGGGGAACCAACCCCGGTTCTCCCAGATTAGAGTCTGCCGCTCTTAACCACTACACCATACTGGCTCTAAGCCACCTGGATGTAAGCCACCTTGACTCCATTTTGTGTGTGTGAGTGTTACAGAGAGCCAGTTTGGTGTAGTGGTTAAGAGCACAGACTCTAATCTGGGAGAACCGGGTTTGACTCCCCACTCCTTCACATGCAGCTGCTGGTGTGACCTTGGGTAAGTTACAAGTTCTTTCAGAGCTGTTCTCTCAGGAGCAGTCCTTGAAAGAGAGCTCTCTCAGCCCCACCTGCCTCCCAGGGTGTCTGTTGTGGGGAGGGGAAGGGAAAGGCCGGCTCTGAGACCCCTTTGGGTAGTGAAGGGTGGGTATAAATCCAATCTCTTCTTCTTCTTATGCCGCAAAACATCATCTTGAGCACGACGTACGACTTACAGAGCACATTGAAACGGAGGTAAAATGCTTCCAATTTAACAAATCAACAGAGCCCCAGGGAGCCTGAATTGGGGGGGGGGGTTTTGCTGAAGAAGGAGAATAGAGGACTTACCGTAAAGACCGACAGACCCATCTTAGCAGCTTCCTTGTCTTCTTTGGAAAACATCATCCGACCTCCGGCACTTCTGAAAACAAGGGAGACAGGAAAGAAAGGTCTGGTGCTGAGGAGC